CAATGTCGTGAAAGAAGTACTATAGGAAAGAAGAAGAAGCTCGAACCAACGAGTATGAGTTTGCGCGTACGAAATTAAAAAAATAGTGTTCGATTATTGTTAGGAAAAGGGCCGGTTTCTAGTCGGAGAATCCCGGTCCCAAAGTGTAACCGTTGGATCGGAGGAGAGGCCAAGCGTTGGAGAGTCGACGAAAGTTCGGCACGTTCGTCGCTTCGTCCGGCTCGTATCTAAACCGTTCACGAAGATTTGGTGTGTGCGTGGCTCCGCCTCCTACTCCTATCCGACCCATTCTAAACAAATGAATCATGCTCCAAAATGGCCGCCTGAATTTAGACGTCACGTGGCATCGACGCACGCACACACACGCGCGCTTTGTGTATCCGACCGCCGGAGCAGTCCAGACTGCGGTTACGAAGAGGGACTCTCGCATAAAATACCGAGCGGTGTAGCTTGCACGGAGAAGTTTGAATTATGCTTGTTGCCGGTGGTCGTCGGGTCTCGGGGATTCTGGGGCTCGGTGCACCGATTCGAGCAACAAGTAGTCCCTGAAAGAGGTTCTCGCGGACACGAGCGGAGAGGGGGAAATTTTGGAGAAGATCGTAAGGCGAAGGGACTCTCACGGCGGCTCGACGCGACGCTCGGTAGGCGTCGATTTTTCGGTACGTGGCGCAGGCATTGGCTCGCAAAGAGAAAGGCTGTAGAGCGGGCTGGCTACCCACATAACGGCGCGTTGCTTAGAAGGCCGACGGAAAATTTAATGTCAAGTATACATGGAATTGGTTTCGCGGCATTAAACGACAATGTCAGTACGGTCGAGAACGTTGCGCCCTGCTTACAGTTTCTCTGGGCAATTAGGCACGCGACTTCGGAGCCGGCGTGCATCAATTTCCACAAGAATTGCATAACGCGATCGTCGCTGTCGCCCGGAGAGCCGCTAGCTAAGGCGTCGACACCGGCCGCCCTATCTAATCTGCGACTTTCGACTGCCATCTTGAAACCCGAAGCACGAAGCCGTTCCTCGGGATTATCTAACGAATTTCTAAACCGTACGAAGGCCTCAAGGTCCGGCGCGATCGCCTCTTTTACCGCGATCCCCTTCTCTCGCCTCTCCTCTCCGCCGCGTCGTCGTCGCCGTTCTCCGCGCTCTTCCGACCGGTCTTGCGTAAAGTTTGAAACTGCGCGCGAAAACGATAGCCTCGCCCGCGATAAGATAGACCAATAAACGGATAGATAGGGCGACGTTACCGATGTTTGGTTATCCGCGCGAACGCTCGATACCACTTATCGCCTAGAACCCGCACGAATTTTCGTTCTACTCAAAATGGCGACCGTTCGGGGCGGAGTGTTTTGCAAACCAGGAGACACGAATAAATTACTATACGTTGTCAACGCCAAAATTTCTCCAGGTACCGATTTGGATCGTCCGCTGTCGCGAAGGGTACGACTGAAGCGGAAAGCTCGGAGTCTGGGGATCGTAGCGCGCCCATCAACGACGCGTGAGGTGCATTATTTAACGCGTTCGCGCGTGCAATAAGAAAAAGCCAAAGAAAGAGATACGGGTGCATGCAAGTGCGCGAGTTCTGGCAATTACCGGAGGTAAGAAAGAAACAAGGGGATTAAATGCGGCCAAATAAAAGTTATAATCGCGTTTATCGTGTGCACGCCCATTAATGAGAACTTTACGGTCAATTTAACAAGATTTTACGATACCGTGGCCGTGGCGCGGGAAACGGTGCGCGTATTTTCTGTTAATAAATTAATACGCGTAGCCCCGCGAGCAGAGAATTTCGAACGCGTCGTTCCGACAACGGACGTACCGAAAGACGCGTTATTCTTTTGTCCCCCGGCGTTGTCCTCGGTCGTTGGGACGTATTTATTGGCCGTCGATCGCCAGAAAAAGCAAATAGAGCCGGTTAGGCGCTGCGCCACAGCGAATAGCTTTTAAATTTCAAATCGCAGCAGCAACTGCATCAAATTGTCTCCTATTAAAAGTGTCATGGCCACAGTGGCGCGCGGAGGCGCGGGGAAATCAGCCGGGTTACCAAACGTATGCGTGCGTGCGTGCCTGCGTGCGTGCGTGCATGTGCGCGCGCACCACTGTGTTCTCATACTGGAATCGGGCACGCGGAGATGGAAATGTACGGACGAATGAAAAATTTTTGCCACCGATTTATTTCCAACGAGGAAAAATACGAAGAACCGACGCTACGTCGTCTACGGGCAAATTGATCGTCGAGGCTAAGGGTTTATGCCAATGGCGGGGAACCTTTTGTCATCGGTACCCGTGGCTCGGTTCGCGGATTTCTTGCGACGACACGCAAAAATTACGAAAATCCACCGAATACAAATACCGTTATACGAAACATAAATATAAATTAATTTCCTTTTAACCCTTCGATCGCGGACGAAACGCTATTGTGCGTTCGCGTGACAGTTGGCAACCAGACTCGAAGACCGAATTACATTTCAAGAACGTGAAAACATCGAAACAGTTGGCGATATCCGGTTGTTTAAACGGTTGCTATGTAACAACTACTATACTAATTTAATACACGCTTCTCGTACTTATTGATGGGCATGTGACAGCGTGGGACGCCTCTCGCGATTTTTCTGTCAAGAAGCAATCAAACGGCGCTCCGATTGCTTAATCTAATCGAATATATGGGAGCGTGCGTACCCGTTCAATATTAGTTATCGTTTAGAAATTATGGGCGGTGCTTCGATTCGATCTCATCCCTGCCCCCCTCGGCTAAAATGTCCTATCTATCGATCAATCTTCTTTCAAAGCATTTTCAAGTGCTTAAAACTTTACTGGGTTTTCATTATGTCGATCTATTTATTTTAACTGCTATATAAATTGTTTCAAAAAAGCAAGTACATTCGGAAATAAAGTAGGGAAAAACCGTAGTCGGAAAATCGGTAGCGGAGGCCTGAATCGTTTCGACGAATCGAGTTGGACTCGAGGACGAATAATTGGCGGTGTTTCCGAGCGTTCGGGAAACAAAGTTCGATCGACGCGCGTTTTCCAGGAACCCGTGACGAGGCATTCTTAAATTGGATTCTAGCCGGATCTCGTTCCGCGAAGAAAAGTCGGAAGGCAGAGGGGCAAGGAAATCGATAAAACTCGCATGTAAGAATGCATTAAGGCGATCTATGACCGTAAGACAAAGCAATGCGACTGAAACGAGTTTCCGGGGAGCCGGACGCGTACGCGACGGTCTATAGTAAATACGTATCGTGGCTTTACGAAATGAGCGAGCGTTCCCTCTAAAGATAGAAGTTGATGTCTTCGGGTAACGCAACACGTAGCCTCTAAATCAGCGTACGGTGACAAAACAAAGGCGACACCGCAGAAACTTTCGATCGCTCGGAAGAATATACGAAATCTGAACGACGCGACGTGGGAACGGGGCTCGCTCGTGAAAAGACGAGATAGCCTCCGACCAGACTTATACGCGTCGTGTATGCGCCGACACAGGCCGATCGTTATTAAGCGTGCACAGAGATCCCAACAAGATACGACGATCGATGATATCTACGAGCGAAATTTAAATACCCCGAGACTACGGTAAATCTAGCCAATATTCTTAACGTGGTATCATAAAACTTTTCATATTGCTGCCTCGTGCTTTCGTACGTCCGTGGACGAAAAATCAAATTACGCGAAAAACGTCTCGAATCCGACGGTCGTAAACAATCTTGACCGAAGCAATCAACTCGACGCGTAATTCTATTTAATAAGAAAGAAAGCATCGCGAAACACCGACGCGGGGCCAAATTGCTATTTTGCATCGTAATCCTATTTAACCGTGACAATAGATTGAAAAAAATTCGAGTAATATCGTTGGTAAACGAGCAAAGGTAACTTGTCCTTTCCCAAGTTTTAACGAGAATCTCGGAACGCGAGACGGATCGATCTCGCCGTCTCGCTCGGCTCGGAAGTTCTAGAGCGCGAAAAGTCCAAATCTCTGGGTATATAGTCCCGCAGCATTTGGCACCGTGTATGCAGTCCTGCGTAGTCGTGTACGGTTGCAGGTGAAGAGTCGTCTACGTACGTAAAACGCGCAATTGGAGCAACGATCGCGACCGTGTCCAGGAAAAAAATCGTCGACTTCACCGGACAAATTTTGGAGCAAACGCTTCTCTTACCCTTGACCCTTCTTGTGCTCAAATATGATTTACGAATAATAATGTTTCCGTAAAATTTGGTTGATATTTTTATGTAGGTGTAACTATGTGCCAAATATTTTCTTGGATCCTGACGATACCAAATGTACTTTCTATGGAGTTTGGAGTACAATAGGATTTCAATCAATTGGCTCAAATAAATATTACCAAAATAGAATGTTGAGTCTCGTGCAAGAGGGGATGTTTTCGAGCGGCAAAAGGGGGTTGAGAGTATCGAGTGAGGAAATAAAAAGAATTTTGTCCGAGAGTGGCGAAAAGGGTGGGAGTCCGGGTAGATCGGCGGTTTGCCCCACTGTGCGAGGACAAGAACGGTAACGGCAACAAGAACAACGATAGAGACTCGGAGCGGTGCAATGGTGCGGAGTTTCGCGATTCTCGCGATGACTGCTCGTAGGAAAGAGCAGCAGTTGGTTCGTGTGCGAGCAAGTGCTCGTAACTCGCGTTTGTAGAGAACGGTGGCATACCGGAGTGACCGTGCGTGTACGGTTCGTCGTCGGGAACGGTGGCAGTGACGGAGGTAATGGCGATGGTAGTGGTAGTGGTCGTGGTCGAAGCAGCGTCAACTCGACGACGACGACGACGACGGCGGCGGCGACGACGACGACGATGAGAACGAGGATCGTAGAACGGTGGTGGCGAGTAGAGGAAGATCGCGCGTGTTGGTGGTCACGGACGTAGCGGAGTGAGAAGGTAGTGGTGACGGTGGCGGTAGTAGTAGTCGTATACTAGTAGTAGTAGTAGTGGCGCGAGTCGGTGGTGAGGAGGATGGTGGTGGTGTTGTCGGTGGTGGTGGGACGAAGATGGTGGGGTGGTTGGATGGCGGCGCTCCTAGCGCGCAAGCCGCACCGTCCGACGCGGATGCAGTTACGGGAGCGCAGCGCGACCCAATGCAACTCGACGAACGTCGCATATCCGGAGCCGGATCAAACGTCGAGGCCTGGGCAAGTGGTGCGTGTGCGTGTGTCGCCTCATCTCCCTCTCGCCTGTGCGCCCGTGGAACGCGCGAGAGAACAACGGGGGAGTGACGGGTAAAAGACGGAAGCAAGAAGAAACCCCCGGAAAAAAAGAAACGAACACGAAAGAAGAAGAAGAAGAAGAAGACGAAGAAGACGAAGAAGAATAAAGAAGAACGTCGGTGTTATTCGTCGATCGTGTTTATACGCGTAAATAAAACAAAGGATCAGCGCGGTGCTAGAGAGGGATAAGAGAAAACTAAGAAGAGTGCAAGAAGGGAAGAAACGCACGCGATCATCGCGAAACGAGGAGCCCGTGCGTCGAGTCCTAGGGGATAATAAAGAAGGAAAAATCGTTGCATCGGGCCGCCGCGTCGCGCCGATCGAGACGAGTCGCCGTGTTTCTCGCCGTCGTCGTCGTCGCTGTTGCTGAATGTTGTGTTGTGCACGCGCACCGCGGTTCGCGATTCGTACTTACGCTCTCGCCGGCGCGTAACAAACACGTCGCGCGTATTTTTCGGCGTGCCGGTGTAACCACCAGGAGGCCGTGAGAAGGAAACGTAGCGAGCCGGTCGAGACGACGTTCCCCGGCGATCGTAGTCGACGTTGACCTCGTGGCTGCCGGGATCCGTAGGTCGATAGAGATCGTTCCGTGGCGCGGATCCGTCGGTTTGGTGGAATCGCGCGCGTCTCAATTTCCCGTCGCTCGGCGAATCGAATTCCCCGTTGGAGGAAACGGAAAGCGGGAAGCGGAAAACGGAAAACGGAAAACGGAAAAGGGAAAACGCCGCCGGAGAGACTAAGCGAGCCAGAAGCGAAGAGAGTAAACGGAGCGGCGCCCCCGAGGATCGGAAGGATCGAACGGAGGAGAGCAACAGGCTCCTTGCGTGGAAGGAAGACGGTGGAGGGGAGTCGGTACAACTGAAGAGTTCGGTGCAACCGTCGATTCCGTTTCGTTAGTTCGCGCTCGCTCAATCTCCTTTTTCGTACGCGTCTCGCGGTCTTAGAGCGAGCGAGCGAACCGCGTTCCTCGCCGGAGACCTTGTCGGTTCGCGGTCGCCTGTGTTTCGTTCGCGTTCTTTGTCCCTGTTCTGTACACGGTGCGTGAAAGGAAAAGCAACGCGGGACAACCGCTCGCCTAGACTACCGATTTCCCGTACGAAATGTCCAGGAAGATGATCGTGGAGCGCGGCTACCGGCTCGCCGCGAGTGTCGCGAGCCGCCTCGAACGACTCTGAGAGGAAGGAGCCGCGCATCTACCGTGGATCGTTCTCCCAACGGAGAAGAAGGAAGTGCAGCCTGTATCCGTGATTCTTCCTGTCGCGACAGTGAGTACCGGCAAGTTGTTTTTATCGTTGTTCCCCGATAAACACCCGAAACGATCCGCGCGACTCACCAGCCAACCGTTCGGCTAGAACGCGTGTACGCGTACTCGCCTACATACGTGACTACATTATGTTGTACGCGTCGCTAGTGTGCGTGCGCGTGTACGTGTGAGCGTATTCGCACTCGTACTCGCGCGAGCGCTGGCGCTCGCGCGCACGCGACACACCGAGAGGGAAGAAAGGAAGGGGGGAGCCTCGGAGGGGCGAGAGGAGAGGAAACGAGCGAGCGAGAGAGTGTGAGAAAGAGGGACGAAGCAAACAGTCGGGGCGCGGAGAGGAGGAATCGAAGGGAGGGAGAGATCGACAGGCCACAAGACGGACTAGAGTGCTTCTTAGACACCAAAATGGCCGAAATGACTGCGCGCTCTTGAGCGAGACACGCGTTGCGTTTCCTCTTTCTCTCGACTTTTCTCTCCGCGTTTGCCAGCCCACCGTCGCTCCTCGGATCGCTTTCGTACGCGAAATGTGCTCCGCGAACAAAAAGAAAAACAGAAAAATGACCACCGGGACACGTTCTTGCCGCTGTCGCCTCGTTTCGGAACCATCGAAGCGCCACGGCCGACATTCTGTTATCGGTGTTTCGTCTACGATCGTTTACCTTTCGTCGTCGAGTCGTCTTCCCTCTCCGACATAACGAGTGACCTCGTTAGGTTCGCTCGAGCCGGTCTTATGTCGTGTCCGTTACGTTTCTCCCTCCGGGGTTCTTTGGTTTCGACGTCTGGCCGACGCTGGTCGTCGAGACGTCCCCTAGGATCTCCGAAATATCGTGGACGCGTCTCACGAAAACGAGAAACGTCTCGTTTCGTCGAAACGACCGCCGGTGATGGCACTTTGCGCGGCCAGAGACGCTCGCTTAAAGCGGAATGATCCTACCTGTACACTCGATGCTTCGTATCGACGCGTTCACTGTCAACCACCACCACCGATCGTACACGATGATTTGTCGCCGGTAATGCAACGAGTAAATAACGGATAATTGGTAACGTTACTTGGCGGTTATCGTACACCACGGTGTTACGATCCTTCCTTTCAAAATCTCAATTTATTCGCGAAACCGTTGATAAAACGGACTGTAACGAGCAGCCGTACGAAACAAAAAATCATCGAACGCATAAATCATGCCAGACGTCCCGTACAGCTTTAACGGAACGTAGAATAGGACTTGACCGTGCCTTCGAATTTGACGAGGTAACTTCAATTTAACGCTAGATTTATGGACATCGAGTGCACATATTTCTATCGAAATCCTCCGCGTTGACGGTTACGTTGAAAATTTAACGCGAATAATATTTATGAGTTCTGTAACTTTGAGTATGGAATCTGACATCCGTCATATTGACCCGTGAAGCTAGTGTCAAACTAAACTGCGATCGAATTGTTTTAGAAGCGCTACGAATCGAACGGATTAGACTCTTGCACGATGTTTGTGTCTCTATCGAGCTAATTATTTTTTAAAACGTACGATAAAACGTTTCGTGTGCTTCGATCGTTGTTCAAAAACTCAGGCAGGGACACGTGTTTCGCAAAACTAATATTCAAATCTGGAACACAACTAAGTTTCTCCTACAGTATTGTGCAGGTATCGTTACTGAAACGCGCGAGTGTGCAAAAGGAGGGAAAAAATTTTGTAAACACAGGAAAAGTCGCTAATATATTTCCATATTAAAACCTGGAGTATACTTGCACGTAATTTATGACCAATCTTACGTGCATTTTACTTTACACGTTGCTCAGCAAATCTACTATAAAATTCTCAACATCGTTGTACTATATTTCTTTTATAAATAAACGGAGGGATTTCGAAGAATGTCCTCGTCCGGACATTACGCTATTACCAAATCTTTGAACCTATAAAGATGGTTAAACAATCGACTTTGAGAAACTTAGAAGGAGGCAACATGTTAACGAGTTTTATTATTTCATTTTTGGTCCAAGGTTTGGTCGCAGTTAGAAACTAAAAAAAAGAATGAGCGAAGTATTCTTTCGGCATTTCTATTTCTATTTCTGGACGTTATTCGAAGTTGATTCGATTAATTTTTAATCTCCCATCTACCTCGTCTGTCTCGAACGATTCGAGGATCGATCGTCGTTCGCGATACGGCGGTAATTAGTATACATTGTCTCGTTTTGTTCGAAACGGCGAAGCGCCCGGATGTCGCCCGATCTCCGCAAAAAGTCCGTCGAACGATGATGGTTGCCCGGAGGATGTCGTTTCTCTGGCTCGGAAGTGAAATAGTTGCGATAAACACGACGGAGGGACGCGCGAACGAGCGATTGCGAAAGTGTACGCAACGCGTCACGTGTTTCGTAGGGGAACCTGTCGCTCCGGAACTCGGCAGCGACCGGTACGCGTGCATTTTCAACATCCAAGGGCAACCGAAACGCGAAAGTAGTGGGTGTGCTTGCGCGCGAACAAGAACGGATACGCGAAACTCGAACCTCCAGCGATGGATAGAGCTACACCTATCACGGAACGGGAACGATCGATTTATCTTTCCACGAATAGCTGCGTCCTTTGTCAACAGACCGAATGTTGCTAATAGTTCTCGACGGTCCACCGATTCCCGCGGAGATTCAGAACCCGACAAGGTCGGAACGATACTTCAACGACAAATAAATTCTCGTCTGTTTGCGTGCCTACCTGTTACTTTATATATTATTACGCACTTGGTGCAAACGTGTCTAGAAAACGGTCGCGCTGCCAGATTCGTTTAATTTAATACTCGGCATATTTTTACGAGCGCGGTTCGAGTCGATCGTGACTGGTTCGATTTGTCGTATCCGTATAGTCGTAGATCAGGTATATTCTTAGCCAATCCCGCCTGGAACGTGAAATTCGATCGATTCCAGTAAAGGGGAGCAATGTTGCAAAAAAAGCTAGATTAAACGTTTCCAGGGTAGTGCATAATTATTGTCAAGGATAGAGTTAGGCTGACCTACTCCGCGAGCCGTTGCCCTCGGAAAGTTACGCTGCGCTCTATCCACGAATGCAACATATTTCGATGCACTGGGAGGCCGAATTGACGACGCGTATCGCAAGTGGGATGTTACCAATGAGATACAATAATCCGACAGCGTATGCCTTCCGCGAAGTCAGCTGTTACACGGGCTAGCTTCTCCCAGCGGTAGTTACCGTGTTCTCGGAACGGCGAAAGTAACGTGGACGAACGCAAACATAGTTTTATTTTGCAAGAAAGGCCAGGAATAAATTATTGTTTCTCCGCTTGGGAACCCCTTGCAATTTCTGTCGATCGAATTGTTTATTCGACGTTTCGGCGCGTACGCAAATGCTGGTGTACAGGATGCGGAATAACGATTGAAAAACGCGCATCGATAATCTAGCAGTTTACATACACAAGCGCAGCCGTCCAAGCGAGTTAAAGTTAAAGTTAGACCTATAGTTTCTTCTTCTTAGCGATTTAAAATTGTAACGAAAGAACTTTGCAAGCGCGTTTCTCTCTTTTCGACTCGGACTTCGCGACTGGACGAAATTTAAGAAAAATATCACCGATCGAAAGAATCGATATTTCGAAGTTGAATGGCAATTAAAAAATCAGTTCACGATGACTTTCGCTCGTTGTTTGCGACAATAAATATTCACGAGGCAACATGCAAAATAAAAGACATTTTTCCACTTCAGTAACTTTCGTGACCAAATTTAAAACACGTTCGAGCGTCACGCCGATAAATTTTTCGTATCTCGCTGGAAAGTTATTTTCAAAAAACTGGTGATCGACCTTCGCCCCTGAAGCAATTTTTTCGTCAAACAAGTTTTGATTTTAACGACCAATATTTTTGGTAAAAGTGTTCGTTCATGGTTTACGCTTAAAAAGATAATTCTAGAGAATTCTTGAGCCAGAAGTAAAGCTAAAATAGGGGTTGTTCGAGCATCCAATGATAGAGTAGGACTCGATAGTTGATCTGCGGAGTAATTAAGACGCTTCTATTCATTTTTCGCCGATTAATCGTCGTGGTTATCCTTGCGAGTACGTGAATCGTGACTTTTCAAGAACAGGGCAAACCAAGCGTACAATAGACTCGTAGATTCATCGTTTACGTGAATCATTTCGAGCGACGATTCATTCTTAACCTCGAATTCGCGACGATAAAGCTCGCCGGTCGCTTCCTGATAAATCGACACGCGGCGTTTCTCCGGAAATGGCGGACGTCTGCATTCGCATGTCGGTCGAACACGTTCCGCGAGTCGTTCGTGTCGGACATTTATTGACGCGATAACTTAGTAAAATTAACACCTGCCGATGGAAAGCTTGTACCGTGCACGGATTAAGAGTAAACAGCGGGTTCAAGTTCGCGAGCAAGCGGGAAAGCTGGGAAAACGACGCGTCGCGATCGAGGGAGATCGGTAAACCCGAAATTTTCGATTGGTAATGTTCCACGCGCTGTTTGGGAGTTTAACGCGGACCCCGAATTTCAGTTTCGAATCCGTCGACGATCGCAATCGCGCGAAACACGTTGTCGACGGAACGTAGTTCGATAACCGATAACGACATTTTCTATCGATGGTCGGAATTGAAAACGGTATTACGGTCTCGTCAAATACGGCGGAGAAACTGTCGCGATAACCTTCGGGTGCTTTTATATCGGCGTTGCTCCAATTTTCTTTTCTCGTTGTCTATTTATCACGGTCGCGGGCACCGCGGGGCCTGGGGGAATTTCGGATTTCGCGAAACTGTCGCGCGAAGAACCGGGCCGATTATTCGGTCAATTACGCGGAAGCCGTGTGTTCCCAGAAAAAAACCGGGCCGCGATTTTCGAGCGTATGTCACGAAACGTCCGACCGTGACGTGAAAAAATTTACGAATCTCGCGACCGAAAAAGGATACATATAACTACAACATACGTGTTATCCGAAGCCACGCGCGTCACGACGTCCAGAGTTATCGAATGTTATTTCTCTTTCTGGCCCTCTCTCGGTCTCTCCC